GCCCTAAAGCCCTAAATCCACTGCTCGAGCTTCTTGGGGTCGCGTGCACTAAAGCCGACTTTGAATGGCTTCGGCTCGGTTGTCAAGGCTGTCGCAATCAAATTGCACTCAATTGCATTAAGAATTGGTCGGTCGGCTGCCTCTTTCGCCGTGTGCATCTGGAAGGCAGTGATGAGGCGGATGAAAGCAGTGAACAGCTCGCGATTGGCGAGATGTGAGCCTGCACACATACGTGATCCTGCTCCATATGCGTAGTGGGCAGTGCCTGCACCCTCATTGACCTCCAAAAACCTCTCTGGGATGAATTTATCGGCATCCGTAAAGTGATCTTCGTCGTAATCGGCAGCCCAAGCATTCTGGAGGCCATGTTAGGAAAGTCCGAAGAAGAGAGAAGCCAGGGGCCATTTTACCATGAAGAAAGTCGTGCCAGCAGGGATAGTGGCTCCATTCCACTGGATATCCTTAGTGCTCTCGCGTGGCAGACAGATAGGAATAACTGTCCAGAACCGCAAGATCTCCTTCACCAGGGCAGTCACATAGGGGACCTTTTCCTCCACCAAGCATCTCTCCCAAGCATCCCCATTCGGGTAAACTTCCATTATCGCATCATAAGCCTTGTTTTGAATGCTTTGGCCGTCTTCCGATGCCAGGTAGGCAATCCCCATGATCAAGTTACCGGGAACAGTGTCAAGACCAGCCGACACCATAGTCAAACAGATCGATTTCACCTCGGCTAGACGACAAATGAACACTTCACTCCAACGTTCATGGGATCTTTGGTTACTCACCGTCATTCAGCTTAGCCTCGGGATCCTTCAATATATTGCCAGTGATGCAAGGCTTGTCGGTTCCTTTGGCGATCCGATCCTTGAGCATATCGAGCAAGTAGGTCAGATATTTATCACGGCGACCCCGGAAGTCTGCAGCTTCATTGTTCATCTTGGGGAATATTCGTAATAGGGGAATGTAATCCTGCCAGTTATTCGAAGTGCTGCGAAAGTTGGATACGCCACGCTCCACATCCACAATCTCGTGCAGTAGCGTATCATCCACGTTGCCCTCGATACGGAACCCATAGTTCAAAGTCAAACTGGTGTTGAGGGCATATCGCTGGAAATAGGCAGTGGGATTTACGTCACGTTTGCCGTTCTGGCTGTCCCGGTATAGCTCTTTGATGCTAGAATTGGATTCGACATCGATGATGGGCATATATGACTGCACCGCCGGTCGATTCAACGCTGTGGCAGCTGCCTTGCGGCGTTTCTTGCAGGAATCATCCCACGGGGACGTTCCAATAGTGAACCCCTGTGAGCTGGAGACGACGCTGTGGAAGGTGTGGAAAGTTGGGCGGGAAATGAGAGCGGATGAGTCCTTAATCCACAATTGACGAACGGATTTAAAGCTGTTGGCGAACACGATTCGCTATTAAAGGCTTTTAGATTTTACATTCGGTACATTGTCGTACCCAACAAGAAAGCGAAAAACTTGCCTTGTTTCCCATGCGCACTTGGAAAACTGGGCCAAATGTCTTTGCCCATCTCCCCGTGACTGTTGCATGCTGATCTCCCAACTGCAATAGGTTACCAAATATGGGTATACCAGGGACCTCCGGGATGCCTTTAATCTTGGGGATATCAGTGCGGTTGAAATAACGAATGAGGAAATAAACCACCGTGATCACGGCAACTGCAAGTGTTTGGATTGCCATGATAGAGTGAAATTGACAAGAACTGCAGACTTTTCTGACCAGTGGAAGACGGCGCATGAATAGCTCTTATAGCCCTTTGCAATTAGGGTCCTCTTTGGCTCGGCTAAGGCACGTTCCAGAGTTCAAAGACTCGCATGGCCATGGAAAGAAAGATGTCTGTGATCGGTCACATAGCACTCCGATATCCAGTCATAAGTGATAGAATCAGCAAACGCGGTTTCCCATAGGTCACTTAACCACTCGCCAGTCTGAGGGAAGATATCTCCACAGCGCGGCATAGACGGAATATTCGTTCCGCACCCCCTTGTCAACTTGTTTGCCCGCGGAAAAAGAAGGCTTCAATTCCGGCTAGAAATGGGAAACTTGTTCTATTTAGTTTCTAACACGACTTCAAAAGTACCGATTTGGAGGGGTGAGTGTGAGAGGATATGCTAGCCATGTCCAGGCCATGGCTTGACCGTTAGTCCTCTGCAACTCCCAGATGTCGGTTCCCAGTACGCTCTATCCGACTCAAGCCGCGTATATCACCACCCAGTAGTCCAGCATAAAACACAGAGTAAGGGCAATTTGTTCTGCCTTAACAACCATGCTTTGAATTAGTCCCTTTCGATCGTCGATAGTCAAGACTCATTAGCATGATCTGTCAGTTTCAAAGAGGGCGTAGAACGCTACATTATCGTTTCGAAAATTACCGAAAATTTTTGAAAATTACGTTGCTAAAAACTCGAAATTTACTGTTCGGAATCACAAAGTTTTTTTTTTTTTTCATTCTGAAACTCCCTAAGGAAACGAGAAATCACCTAGAAGGTAGGAGGCTATAAGAAGAAGTAGTTATTGAGAGATCGAGTTGTAGCGTATCGGCAGGTTACTTTCTGGGTTTACGCCTCGGTGGGACCGCTCGGTAGTGAAATACGGTATATAGAAGTGTCAGTCGCCATTTACTTGACACTGGATATACGTTTACAAAGTGTTCTAAGCACCTAACAACTACGGAGCATCGAGATATTCTCTGTAAATCCCTACATTTTTAGGTTGACACCTAATCCCCAAGGCATAAATCAGGTGACTAAACGTGTCGGGTTAAATCTTACATGAGCTTCGCTTCTTCACTTTGCTGTGCTGAATTGATGTCTTCCCAACCATCTCTGCCGCTTTCCTCCCCTCCTGCGCCTTCGCCCATTCTACATCCGCGACGCCCAAGCCTGGAACAGGAGCGAGAAATTCTTTCCACCAGAGGCCAACGCTTATGGAATCTTTTACCTTCTCGCACATCTAGCCTTGCATTAAATGATGTCGATGACGATGTATCCGAAAGGCGACTTATTCTTCGACGTGGATCGTTGTTGATTGGGCGCAGTAATCTTCGATATGAATGGTAATATCTCTCTCTCTCTTCTGACGCAACTACAGTCCTAACCCGCGCCGCAGGCAACGCTACTATAAATCACCTGAGTCATTAAAAGACCTCCCAAAGGCAATGTTGGTTACCTACTCAATCTCAAGGAACCAGGAACTAACTCCTAAAAACAGTCGGAAATATTATGAACGAAACAATGCGCTAATTTCCCAATATCTTTACATTGACCGACTGCTGGACTCTTCGCTACCCCATAATCTGATCGAAGACTATAACGGATGTAATCACTATGCTTCAAGAAAGGGAATTCTTCAGCCGCCTTCGCTAGAAGACAATCATGCCGAGGCATCAGAACCTAATCCCAAGATCGGAAGGATCAAACGCACCCCGCATAATCTTTATCGGATCCCCGATGAGACAACACCCTTAGTCCACTCTCCTGAGGCAGCAGAAGACAGCCCATTAGATCCGTTCCTCGATCTTGAATCGCATGGCGGCATGTCCCCAGAGGACGAGGAGCGTATTATCAACATAGCCATTCGCATCAATTTCGTCGCCAACGTTGCTCTCCTAGCCTCGAAGATCGCCATCATGGCGATGACTAGCTCCATGTCTATGCTGGCAGGTCTTGTGGATGGAGTTTTGGACTTTCTCAGCACAGTGATTGTCTGGATAACTACCACTATGATCCGCCGACAAGATCGCAACCGCTACCCCATCAGCCGACGGCGGTTAGAGCCTATCAGTGTGTTGATATTCTCGGTGATCATGGTGACGTCCTTTTTCCAAGTAGCACTAAATTCTATGAAACAATTAATTGGAGACGACCGCACGGTTGTTGAGCTATCTATCCCATCCCTTGCCTTGATGGGTGGTACTGTTTTGGTTAAGCTGCTCTGCTGGATCTGGTGTAGGCTAATTCCTAGCCCAAGCGTTCAGGTCCTGGCCCAGGACGCCATGACTGACGTTGTTTTCAACACATTCAGCATCATCTTCCCCCTGAGTAAGTCTTATGCCTGTTTGCTAATAGGGCATCAACTAACAGGTCACAATCGCAGTTGGTACCGTTGCAAACCTCTGGTACTTGGATCCCATAGGTGGTCTGCTCCTCTCCTTCTACATCATGTGGAACTGGGGTCAGACGGCCACAGAATACATCCAACGGTTGACCGGCGCAGCTGCCTCTCCCGACGATCATAGCATCTTGCTGTATATGACGATGCGGTTCTCCTGGGTCATTCACAAGATTCAGGACCTGAAAGCCTACTACGCCAGTGACAAACTGAACGTGGAGGTTGACCTTGTTGTGGATGAAAAGATCAGTTTACGGGATAGTCATGATGTTGGCGAGAGTTTGCAGTACATCATCGAGAGTGTCCCTACTGTCGACCGTGCCTTTGTGCATTTGGATTATGACGAGTGGAACCTGCCCAGCCATATGAACCAGATGGACCGGTAACACAGGTCTAACGAGGGCACCTAGTTAGACAGTTTTAAACATTATAGGTATTAGGGTAGGACTACAAACCTTTTCAATATTCATTACACTGAAGATTTGACACAAAATCATTCATCTAGTTGTACATATAAACCATGGTCAATTGAATGTCCTCGCTGGCAAAGACGCCAGGACGCTAAACAAAAGGGGGGGGGAAATCAAGACGACAAATTAATGTACAACAAAACCCATTACAGTCTTACAGTCCACATGAAGTTCATTCGAATAAATCCATGAGACCCTAGCGAGGAGGTTGCGAAGGCGGCGGTAGTCCGCCTTGAACCGACCCATGGCTGTAGACACGGTGATGTGTTGGCGTGGTGACAGTGTCACCCAGCGATCCTGGAGGTCGTTGGTGGAGCGGCGGTATCGACCCAGACGCGGATGACTGAGGGGGGACATAGCTACCCATGGTGCCTCCGCTCATAGAGGGATGTAGATTCGATGGAGGAGTGAATGAGCGACTGATGCTCGCCAGCGATGCTATTGACCGGCCAGCCTGGGACTGGGGAGGAGGGGTGTTGTGCCCGTATTGTGAAGAAGCACCAGGTAGGTTGGCAGGCGTTGAGCGGTGGGATTGCGGCTGATGCGATCCACTGACCATTGTTTGCACATGTTGTTGATAGCTATGTGGCTGTACTGGATTTGGCGTTGCGGACTGACGCGGATGCATGCCATACAGGCTAGCTGAAGGCTGCGCCGGCGTTGGTGGATCTTGTCGTGATGCATATGCCATGCTAGAACGCGGGCCAGGTGACCCTTGTCGATAGGAAGCCGGTTGCGAGGCCATATCTCGGGAGCCAGAAGGCATAGATGATTGAGCAGAGGAGGCTTGGGAGAAAACATTGGGATAAGCTGATCGCTGAGAGGTAGTTTTTGGCGGTGGAGTCGGCGCTGGGGAGGACGCAGGATGATTCGTCAAGGAAGATTGGCTCGAGGTTGCCACGTAAGATGAATATGAACCCTGGCGGCCGCTTTGCTGCTGCTGTGGTGGCAACGATTGGGCTTGAGGCTGGGGCGGAGTTTGTTGCGCACGTGGATCAAACCGTGCCATCCAGTCATTGTTTGCCGACGTGCCAGAGCCACCATGAGAAGGTCCATAGCCAGGATACTCAGAGTAGCCGCGAGACGATGGCTGGTATTGGGTTTGCTGGGCATAACCGGAAGGCTTTTGCGGCACATTTGACATATTAGTGTCTTCGTGGCGAGAGGGTCCGCCGGCCTGGTACACGGGCCTTGGGTTTATGCCTGTGTTTGCGCCGGGGGCAGATGGAGCATGCTCGCTGGCAAATCGTTTGCGCGGCTGGGGCTCTTCAGGTTCATCATTGAGTATGCTCATGATGTTAGACCGTTTTGCAGGCACCTGACGAGTTGCGTCGGGGGCCGGAGTGGCACTCGGGCGAGGGACATCCTTTACTGGCGACAACCCAGGGCGAGGCGATTGAGCTAGACCCATGTGTTGACCTGCGAGCGAGTAATAGGGTCTTTGAGCGAAGGGATCACGATGAACAGACGAGACGTCGACTTCTGGTCTAAGCTGCTGGGTTGGCGAGCCGGGGGTTTGTGTAAGGCTGGGATGACGTGAGTGGGTCGATGAAAGGAGAGAAGCTGGCTGCTGTGCAGGCATATAGGCCTGTGTAGATGATGGTTCCATTCGTGCCATTTCCGGTTGCATGGGGCCAGGATGGCGCGAAGACATCGGTAGATCTTGCGCAAGAGAAGTTGCATGGGGCAATGCCGAAGATTCTCGTCTATCCTCTGTAAAATAACCAAGGCGTGGACCCTGAATGCGGTGGGACGGTCCTCCTTGGGCGCGTATGGCCCGAGTGGACTCTTCAATTAGAGTTGCAGTAGAGGGTACTGGTGAAGCAGCGGAAGCTTGCGCGAGTGGCTGGTAGCGACCGATATTCCGATCCTTCTCGGACGGAGGTCGTCCATGCAGGGATATGGGCTGCGGCGAGAGACCGACAGGTTTGCCTTTAGGGAATCGTGTTTCATCAACCTCAGGCATAGGCTCCCCAAGGGGAGCAAGTTGGCGAGGGATGATAGAAGACGGAGTTGCCTCGTATCGTCGCTTTGGCGCAACACTTGGAACAGGAAGCGGCCCTGTGGCCTCGCCCCGAGCCTTCTTCTCCTCTGCGTCTGTTAGAATCAACTCAAAGTCTTTCTGGCCTGAGTCCAGGCGGCGTTGATAGAAGTTCTTAACCTGCATCGTGCACGTTAGCCGGCTAATAGAAACAGAAAAGGAAAAAAAGGAAACGAAAGGACCTAATACATACCATCACCGTTGTCTTGGTCTTCATCCAAGCCGAAATACCCTCGAAATCACGACCAAAATGTCCCAGCAAGGCTGGAAAGTCGCGCTGCTCCGGTACAGACCAGTAACTCGTTGGTTGCAAGGAGCCATACCCCGTCTCAAGCTGTTTGGTTGCCAGAGGCTGTTCAACTTCAGCAGACTCAAAGACATAAAGTCCTTCTTTCGCTCGCCCGCGTCCCACTCTGCCTCGCGGAATTGGCGGCAAGGATTCTTTTTCGGAACGCTCTCGTTCTCTGGCTTCATACCCTTCCAAGATGTGATCTGGGACCACTTCCATCTCGCTTCCAGGATGAAGTGGGGCAGGCGGTACAATCGGGGGCAGATTTCCTTGTGGCATAGCGACCTGAGCCTTCGAGTCCGGTTGAGTAGTGGTCTTCACGCGCCGTCCACCGCGAGTACTTCCGCCCCGTCCGCCGCGCCGAGTCGAAGATCTTTCCACTGGTTCGCCGTCCTTGCCAAGCTGGCCCCGGCGGCCAACTGACGCGCTCTCTACCTCGGTGGAATCGCCAAAGGTGGGCGCAGCCGCACGTCGTGGACGACCGGTGTCTGTAACAGCTGGTGGCTCATCGTCGCCAACAAAGTCAGGTTTCACCACACCCAAGTCTGCGATGAGGGCATTGGACTTGGGCCGCGGACCTTTTCGAGTCCCCTTGCCCCGCTTACTCCAGCGTTTGTTAAGCTTGGCCTTATACTTAATCTCCTCCTTGGTGAGATAATAGTGTACTATGCACTGCTGGAAATTTCGGCCGGGCAAAGATTCAGCAATTTTACCCCAGCGTTTCGGATGGGCCATGAAGGCATCCGTAAAGATTGTATGCTCCTCCGGGGTGAAGTCATTAGGGGGCGGTACGAAGCCGAAAACATCCAAAGCCCTACTGCACTCAACGGTGTTGTTCACATCTTTGTAGATGCGAGCCTTTACCTCCTGCGGCTCAAGCATATTGGGAATGATCGCTTCTCGGCCCAAGTCGGGCCGAGCAGTAGCCATCTTGATGCGGCGGCGTTCAAGCTCTTCTTGGGCAGAGATTTCCGAAGCCTTCAAAGCATTGAGAAAATCGAGCTCGCTGTTTCCTTTGTACCGACGACCTTCACGGCCTTCTGGCATGTGCGCCGGGGTAGTTGGAACCGTAGACACTGGAGGAGAAGCTGGACCAGGGGTCACGGACTTTTTGTCCTTCAAGCGATCGAGCTCCCAAATAGCCATTCGCCAGAGCTTATAATGAGACACGTACTCGTCCCTAAGGAGTGCGTTCTTCCTGAAAACTTCCGCTTGCACCTTTGAAAGTTCTGCGCTGAACGTGTCTTTAAGACGATTTTGGGTTGCAATGTTATCATGGTATACATCCATGTCTGAAATAGGTGTTGGAGGACCTGAGCGCAAGAACGGAAGACGTTCGACAGTAACCTCATCAGGAGGTACCTCAGGGGGGACGAGAATTTCTGCGATTGGCTCTGGTTCGCGCTCGGGTAGTGTGGAGGCAAAAGAGACCACTCGTTCAGTGCTTGGATGATCGGTTGACTCTTCATCCCCTACCGAAGCCAAAGAATCCACTGGCCGTTCAAACGCTCGTTCAACAAGTGGTTCAAGGGGATTTTCAACTGTCTGATCGTTAGCTACCATGCCAAGTAGCTGGATTTGAAGTAAAAGAGCGACGATGGCCGAATCTTCCAAAGGTAATGGAGGCAACTCTGCTCGGAGTGACTCCATGTCCTTTTCAAAGATCTGCTTTCTTTCTTCAAGATACTCCTGGGTGAAAATAATGTTCTCTCCGTCTTCCTCGTCACTTGAACCTTCAAAGTTCGGTATTAAGGTGGGTTTACCAGTGCCGCCTTGCTCAGAGAGTTCATTAACATCGCTTGTTTGAGTGTGGACGGCAGACAAACTACGCCGGAGTGGGAGGCTCAATGACGGGGAAACAGGTGAGGGATCCCTTGGAAGTTCATGGGGCAGAATCTCGCCACTCTCAGGCTCGTCTATTTCAGGTGGTACTAGAGACCGCGTGGCGTCATTGGCAGTGGAAACACCTTCGCTCTCATCAATAGACTCTTGTTTTGGTAGCGCATTAGGAATAGAAGGTGTTCGGCCATAGCCAGGTCGCACCCATTGCTTGCTGCCTTTACGGCCACGGGGGGAGGGAGCCTTCCATTGCAATGCTCGAGGGCCGGTTGGAATACCAGACGATTGCATTCGAGGCGACATTGAGGGCTCACGAGATAATGCGCGTGGGGCAGGCGGTGGAATTCGTGCAAAAGTAGGGGAAGAGCTAAGCGAGTTCGACCTCCCGACCCCAAACCCTTCGTCGGGTCCTGTCCCCGAATCTGGTCGAGTCATAGCAGCTGGAGCGGTGGGTGGTGATACATCAGGGAAACTGATAGACGGTTTACAGAGCCGAGAGGACGTGACTTGCTGCTTTCCCGCCTCCCGGGGTCCTTCGAGGCGGCTGCGAGGCTCAAGGGGCTGTGTAATCTCAATCCTTTCTGCCTTGGGTCCTGTGGGAGGTTGGGCTGGTTGTCGTTGCGAGACTTCATAGCGATCTCTCTCTACGGGGAATGTAGAAATGAGCGTGGTGCGGTGGTCTGGTGAGTCTTTAATTGAGGAAGCATTCGTGATGGGGGCAGTCACCGAGCCAAAGGCGGGCACCTGGGGGGCGGCTGCAGGCGGTGATTTCCAAATAATAGGTCCAGGGTTCTTCATAGCGTCCGGGCGAAGAGCATCCGGTCGGACAGCATCAAGCCCAGGAACATCAAGCCCAGGAACATCAAGCCCAGCAGCATCCGGGCGAACAGCAACCAGCCGAGGAGCATCTGGTCGAGCATCAGGGCGAACACCACCCAGGCGATGAGCATCTACTCGAGGAGCATCAGGGCGAACAGCATCAGAGCGAACAACGCCAGTTCGAACCGCGACAGGTTCGTTTCGCTCGAAATCTCGCGTGGATTCCAGAGCCGCAGTGCTGGGAATGGTTGAAGATTTCCGATTATGATCCACTTGAGGATGGTCAGACAGGCGATCTGCTAGGGCTGGCCCAGGTCCAGGGCCGAATGCTGTGGGGGGGTGTGAGGAAGTGGTTGAGCCGCTGGCTGCGCGGCTATCTGCACGACTTGGGGGGCGGTCTCGTTTCCAAAAGTCCACGGGGCGATCACGGTCCTCGCGATCAGGTCGTCGATTGTCCCAATCTTCACGACGGTCAAATCGATCTCGACGGTCCAAGTCCCGATCTAATTCTCGATCTCGATCTCTTGGACGTGGAGGATCTCGGTCACGATCTCGGTCCATCATCCGATCGCGATCTAATAAACGATCCCGGTCCATGTCTCGATCTCTATCGCGATCCATCATCCGATCACGTCCACGCCACGGTTCACGGGATCGACTACGGCGACGGAAAAGATCACGATCATCGAGGAAGGGCGGACGACCCCGACCGCGGCCTCCTTCCCAATCTCCGCGGCCACGCCCTCGCATGCCTCCTCGGTGTAGATGGCCACCATTGGGAGGGGGGCCTTCTGGGCCTCCCGAAGACGCGGATATGATACTGTCCCTTGAGTTGCGTCGCATCCGAGCCAGATCAAAATCCCGGCCCGGGGGCTCCCTTATATCTCGAAAGTCGCGCGTCGGTGATCTTGAGCGGCCTCGGCCAAAACCAATCCGATTGTCTCGGGGATCGAAATCGCGGTCACGGCGAACCCAGTCACGGTCCATATCTCGGCGAAATGGCGGGCCATCGCGATTATCTCGAAATTCGCGATCTCGATCGCGGTCTCGTGGGTCTCGGTCACGGTCACGAAAGTCACCACGGCCATAACCCCTGCCACGGCCACCAAAATGGCCACCACGAGGGGAATCAACAAGAGCTCTAGGACCACGCGGTGGATCTCGACCAAATGGTGCAGGTCCGTCGTCAGGACCACGAGGACCGACCGGGGGGCGACGGTCTCCAAATCGCTGCGGAGAACGGTCACGGGAATTGAACCCGGATGATGGGGGGAATCGGGTGGACATTATCGCGTCATGCTATCATGAAGCTATGGACTGGTTAGCGCTCCAGCACGTTCGATGTACAGTACAAATGAACCCAAGGCGGGTGGAACGCAGAATCCATCACATCCCCAAAGATGGGGAACGGGAGGGTCTGCACGTGACAATCAATGCACGGACCATGTGAAGAAATGAAGAGCACGGATACCCGATCGGGTAAGGCGTAGTCTTTTTCAAGTTGGGAGTGGAAAGATCCAATATCACGTTCTTTTCTTTTTTTTTCTCGATTGCTAGATTCGGAGTCGTGTTAGACCAGACCAAATGGTCCATTCAAGTAGACAGACTGACAGATTCGTCGAGATGAGCATTGAACGTGTCAAACAGGAAATACTAACACGTTACAAGATCGTCGAATTCATGCGAGCTCCTTGCGCCGGATGTTATGCAACACGAGAGTAGTATAGAGAAAGGAAAGGATAAAGGGAGGAAGAATCAAAAGTGGAGGAATAGGAATTGTCAGGATTATGTTAGGAATATGAGTTCATGAGACTTCAAGGGGCTCGGCACTAACCCGGTTTGAATGCTAGTGGGGACATGCCTCCCAAACTTTATGTTGTATTCACATTGAACTTGTAACCATGTTGTAGTATAGTTGGATAAATTGATAAATCTGTAAAATGAAGTAGAGCATTAGGAGATTAGAATGGCAGAGAATTAGAAAGTCAAAAACACAAGGTTGATATTCTAGGAGATTCTTTGATCATTCAAGTCTACTCTATAGTTATGGTGAGATTGATGCCTTAGGCATCAAGGCATCAAGGCCCAGACGCCGCTCCCCGACCGAAAAAAAAAAAAAAAAAAGGTCAACTGCCCCTCTTTTTCCATTCCGGACAAACCGAATCTTCTCTTCTCTTATCTTCCCATATCTTGTCATATCGAAACAATTTCATCAGATTTATTTATACACTCTACGACTCATTTTCTTTTTTTTTCCTTCCCAATCCCATCGCAAATATGAGCGCCCAGCAGCCTTCAGTGGTTCCCTTCTCGGTGACCGACTCCGTCCTCCAGCGCTCGCAACCGGTCCCAGAGGGATCTCATGTGGTGAGCGGGGTGGACTTTGACAAGTTCCAGGGACGAGACATCACCGTCGCAGAGATGGTCGACAACTTAGCACATACCGGTTTCCAGGGCAGTGCGGTCGCAGAGGCTGCTCAAATCATCAATGAAATGGTACGTCTGAACATGAATGCCATTTTTGAATCCTTAGAATCTAATGATCTATATTCCCTCAGCGCGCCTTCCGTGATCCCGAAACGGGAAACAAGACTACCATCTTCCTCGGCTATACATCCAACTTGATTTCATCCGGTCTTCGGGACACCCTACGTTATTTGGTGAAGCATAACCATGTTTCCGCCATTGTGACCACTGCTGGAGGTGTGGAGGAGGACTTAATCAAATGCTTGGCACCCACATATCTTGGATCCTTCTCAACCCCCGGCGCTGGACTTCGTGCCAAGGGCCTAAACCGCATTGGCAACCTTCTTGTGCCTAACAATAACTACTGCGCTTTTGAGGACTGGGTAGTGCCCATTTTAGATAAGATGTTGGAGGAACAGGAGGCTGCAAAGATAAAGGCTCGGGAGACTGGGAACGAAATGGACGAGCTTCACTGGACGCCAAGCCGCATCACCGAACGACTGGGTCGCGAGATCGACCACGAGGATTCAGTTCTGTATTGGGCGGCCCGGAATGGGATCCCTATATTCTGTCCCGCCCTTACAGATGGATCTCTGGGTGACATGCTTTACTTTCACACTTTCAAGTCTTCCCCGCAACGACTCCGGGTGGACATTGTGGACGATGTGCGCCGTATCAACACCATGGCTGTTCGGGCGACACGCGCCGGCATGATCGTTTTGGGCGGCGGGGTGGTCAAGCACCACATCGCCAATGCATGCCTAATGCGCAATGGGGCTGAGCACGCGGTATATGTGAATACTGCGCAGGAGTTCGATGGCAGCGATGCGGGTGCGCGGCCAGATGAAGCGGTGAGCTGGGGCAAAATCAAGGCGGATGCCAAGTCTGTCAAGGTGAGTTGGTCCATTGTTCTATTTCTATCTCTTTGGCCCGCGCTAATTTTCATACCCTTTTTTAGGTCTATGCTGAGGCCACAGCGGTATTCCCTATGATTGTGGCTGCTTCATTTGCTCGTGCCGAATCGACACAAAAATAATTTTACTTATCATCTGAGTCTCCGCACGACAGAACTTGTTGCCAAGCAATGCGGGAACCCGCGATCTAGAATGAGTTTTTTTTTTCAAAAAAGGAGCCAATCAGTGTGACTCACCGTCGAAAAGTGGTCCAATTTTGAGTCAATGAAGGGCCTTTGATCGCGCAATTGTTTCCAAATGGGATTGATCCCCAGGCATTGTACGGTCTGGTGGTTCGCTGTACAAGAGGTATAGGTACGTTTATCGGCCTGAAACGCTTCCATGTCTGACGTGCCTGATATGCCTGAAAACAGGACCGTTTTCCGTGGGCCCCGATGACCCGATAAAAATGCCCAGTGGCAAAAGGGGAGAAATTCGATTAGCAGAGTCGCCACCAAACGTTCCAAAAATCGGCATTTCCAAGATAAGATTATTCTCCCCTGAACAGGGAATCGGGATCGGCACACCGCTAGACTTCAGAAGTACGTATAATCAAGATGTATAGGTCAAACACTAGAACATATCTATAACATAGATAACTTATATTTGTAAAGAGCACCGGTATCTGCATAAATACACCTGTGTACCCCGGTATTACATAGTAAATCATCAACCCTGGACCATCAGCCTGGGTCTTGAGTTTATCCCAAAGACCCACTCGGCAACTTCCCCCGGACTCGTTTTTTTCTTTTTTGTTTTTTTTCTCGTTTTCTTTTTCGGTTTCTTCTTTGGAATTTCTTTCTTTTTCCGACTTTCATCCTTCTCCTTGTCTTTTCTTCTCTTCTTCTCCTCCCCTAATCTGTTCGTTTTCTCTTATTTCTCCCTTATCGCCCGGTCCCCTTCTCTCCACACAGCATCCCCACAACCGTCCTATCCGATAAGGGCTTATCGATCTTTGTTGGTACCCGTGGACAGTTGGGAGACTTGGAGTATACCTGCGCTTGGTATATTGATTGTTCGAACACAATTTTTGGGCACTTCTTCGTAAGTTTACCAATTGAAAGGCCATGGATTCTTTATTCAATCTGGCAGTCTCTGGGACTGAAGTGGAGGATACGGCGAGAACGGCAAATGCAGAGACCGAATCATCAAACCAATTCCCCGAATCATCACGTTCGCCCCCTCATCCCGCGCCAATCCTGCCCTCGGAAGAGCTGGAACATGCGTACTGGGCGCAGTATGAAGAGGACACAACCATCCCAGATGAGGACGAGATGAAAGAAATCGACGGCGGCGATTCGGACTACAGTGCTAGTGATCGTAGGCGTCAACCTTGCAAAGACCACGGAATATCTTAATGTTTACTGATTACTTGACAGATAAATATTGGGAAACTAACTTCTTTCGGGATTTGGGAGATCCTGAATATGTACCCATCGAAAAGGCCCGTCTAACGTGGACGTTCAAGGGTGTTCGGGGCATCCCCGAGAACCCCAATCGTGACAAAGTCATTCGCTCCCCACCAGCATTCGTTGGGGGATACTGGTGGCGAATCAAGTTCTACCCTAGGGGGAACAATGTTAATGCATTGAGTGTCTACCTTGAATGCTCTCCCACATTGCCCGCTCCAGATGGCAAGCTTCCTGAGACGGAATTTACGGTCCATCGAGGCCCAGCCGATGCCCCACTAGATAATAGCACCCCGGACATTCAAATAAAGACTACAGCAACGGACGACGCAGCAGCGTGGTTTGAGAACTACAAGTCTCAATATCCTGCAGCCAGGAACACCCCCCTATCTGATCATGGAACCTTGGACTCTTGGCGTGTGCCCGCACAGGTCGGCGTCATTGTATACAACCCCCAAGAGCCACGCACAGGATGGATGCAGTCTTCTTGTCATCAATTTAACCCTCATAATTTGGATTGGGGGTGGACATATTTCCACGGCCCATGGGATCAAATCCATTCACGCCGGCGAGGACAACATCGTGCTCTTCTGAACAACGACACGCTCTCATTTGATGCCTACATTCGTGTGGTGAAAGATCCTACCAAGTCCCTTTGGTGGCACCCAAGTGAGTCCGAGCCAACGTGGGATAGCATGGCCTTGACCGGTTACCGACCTCTGGGTGACTCGATCATCAATCACAGCCCAGAGGTAGCCGGGCTGGCCTCGTGGCTGCACATTGCTCCATTCTGCAAGATCATTCAAAACATTGATGTGTTTGAACATCTCACCAATGCCGATGCCAGACCGAAGCCTCTATGCGATGCTCTCCAGAGGCTTCTGTGGCAGCTTCGCCGCCAGACACTCTCCCCGAGCTATGTCGATACGGACGGCGTGACTGCAACTTTGCGCAATCTGCATGAGTTCTCGAGCGATGTGTCCGAATTCTGGGAGCGTCTGCGTCGTAACTTGGAACTAGAACTGAAGGGAACAGAGGCCGGCAAACAATTTGCTTGCCTCTTTGATAGTCCGGTCGTACAATCTCCGTCTTCTGATAGCGAAGTCCCTTTGAACATGCTGCCAAGAGACTTCAACTCACGTATTTACGTGCCAATTGATCAAGCCAAGTCTACCTCTGAAGCCGTTAGTGGATATCTGAGTGCTAAGCCCGGTCGTTGGTCGCTTCCATCAGTTCTTCATGTCGAGTTTGGGCGCCATACTCTGGACAAGGCCAAACGCTGGCAGCTGCGGTATGACAAAGTAGAGCTGGATGAGGAGTTGGATCTGACCCCGTGGGTGGTTGATGGCCAGGGTAGCAAGTATGTGCTTTATGGCTATATTGTTCATCGAGGCCGCCGTACCTCGGGCAAGTTCTTTAGTATCCTTCGCCCAGCGGGTCCAGGTTCCACATGGCTGGCTTTTGACGATGGCAGTGATAACCGCGTGGAGTGCTTGACCCAGAAAACAGCCATGGGTCCACACCTAGGTCTCGATCCCTCCCAGGCTGTGGATCACAAGAAGGGTCATGATGTACCTGTCGTGACAATTTACATCCGTGGCGATCTGATATCGGAGCTTTTGCCTGGTCCCCAAGAGCCTTGGGAAGTGCCTGTGACCTTGAAACAATACTATGAAACAGGAGTGTACCACTCAGGTTCCAAGCCTGGGGATAGTGTTCAAGTTGAGGTCTATGCGCTTTCCCAGTATGACCAGCTCACCAGCCTTTTTGACTCCTACGATCTCATGGCACAGGCCAAAGTGGCAAACAGTGTCATGTATCTGACTTTGCCCCGTTCATCACGCTTAGCAGAACTACGCAAAAGAATTTCTATTGGGAAGTCCTCTGGCTCTGAAGTCATTGGTCCCGAGCGGGTTCGTTTATGGCAAATTGGCAACTCATTTGCTCAATCTGGGTCATCCTTGGCGTTTGATCGTACTATTGATTTGAATGTTCCGCTGGATCCTTCATTGAGCACCATACGGTTCTGGATGGAAACTATCTCGAAGGGTACGTTTTTAAATTAACCTTTGTCTCTAAGAGTCACCCCGCTAATCTCCCGCAGAGGACGCTCACCTGTTCGCCATCCCAGACCCTCCTGCAGTCACAACTTCAGAGAATAAGCCGGATGACTTGGTCGTCGAGAACTCTATCCACGGCGGTTCTGAAAATGTGACATCTGTGACTGAAGGAGATGCCGTCGCTAGTTCATCTGGAAATGCTCTCTACGAGGGTCCCGCCGCTTCAGATACTGTCAACTCTGTTATCGATGGTGGATCGCTGCTTCCGTTGGCCACATCTTCTCTAGAGAATGATGCTTTTGCTACTGGAAGGGCAGCACAAGAAGTGGTGCTGGCTACTGTTATAGCAACTCCAGCAACAGAAGAAGCAGCAAGCTCCGCTCCTGTGTCAAATTCTGAAGTTGAGTCTTCTACACTGGAAGGGGCTCCTCAAGAACAGACCCAATCCGAGTTCAAGTTGCCTGTTGGCCATACATACTACTTTATTCAAATTTTCAACGCGGAAAATCAAGTGCTTCGTACCGTGGGGTCATTTTTCTCCAAACATGATTCCAACGTTAAAGCGTCCATTCGACGCCACTTACAGCGGCCTCTTCACCAAGACTTTCTCATGTGGAAACGAGTCGATGGTGCTGCTGTTACTCCGGTGTCACCTGCTGACAACTTCGACGATATGCTTGCTCCGCACGGAACATGTTTCATCGTCGGAGATAAGTTGACCAAGGACAAGTAAGTACACGTTTCTGGTTTTCAAGGTTGGTTCTTTAGTTCTAACCTAAATATAGGCGCACTCAACTTGCTTCATTGGGATTGTTTACCAGTCCTGATCGTCTGGTTCAGTACCTGTGGGCCGATTCTCGCGGTCACCCAATCCAAGGTTTCACCGGCACGAAGACTATCGAAGCCACCTTCACAAACGACTACTATAGTGGTTGCTTCCTCAAAGGTTATCACCATGGTAAAGGCAAGCACATCTCCAGCACTGGCATGATGTACGAAGGCGACTTCGTCTTTGGCAGACGCCACGGCCAAGGCAAGCTAACCTATCCCACCGGCGACACATACGACGGTGATTGGGTCGAAGATGTATGCCATGGACAAGGTACTTATGTTGAGAAGGCGACAGGCAACAAGTATGTCGGCGGCTTCAAGGATGGCAAACGCCACGGCAAGGGCATCAGCTACTGGGAGGTGGCCGACGCAGAGTTGGATCTGTGCCAAATATGTTATACCGAGGAAATGGATGCAATCTTTGCCGAGTGTGGTCACCTTTGTTCCTGTGTGACTTGTGCGAGCCTTGTGAGTCTGTGTCCGATGTGCCGCAAAGAGATCAAGAAGGTGATCAAGATATATCGGGCATAGAGTGGCATTGAGTATCTCTCTGTCAGAGTATAGACGGGATGTTCCCGACTTGATTTTGAAATTTTTAAACATTTACATTCATGGATTTTTAGCGAATGGTGATTTGGTAACTGTGGGGGAGCACTTGACGCGATTGGTTTTGCACACTCTCACTGGTGAATGTAGATTGTTGATACTTGTGAATAGTTCCTGTACGAGCTTTATCTTTCATTTATACTTTGACGATGTAGGCCTTGGATAGTTCCCAGTCTTTAATGTGGTACCCTCGTCTTACATCAAATTTGTTTTGTTTTGTTTTTGGCGCTTTGGTTTCTTTTTGAAACACAGTTTGATCTTAATTGAACAAAAGGTATATCCAATGCGCCGGGTCCCGGACCTAATACATGATGCTTTTGACTTGCCCGAAGAACAAAAAACGAAGAATTATAAACAAAAAGAGATGAATGATCAAAGCATTGATCATTTGCCGGCCTTCTTGGCTGACTTCTTATCCTTCTTCTCGACCTTGCCCTTGGCCACGGTCTTCTTCGCTTCCTTTTCTGTGGTTACCGGCTTCTTATCTTTCTTGACCACAATCTTCTTCTCGCCCTCTTTCTCAATAGAAGTTTTCTTCGAGGCAACAGCCTTGGTCTCGTCTTCCTGCTTTGGTGGCGCCGTTTCGTTTGTCTTCGCTGACACCTCTACCTTGCTCTTCTTGGGCTTGTTAAGAACACCCTTGGGGTTGAGGCCCTTGCGACGAATACGGTTCCGCTCAGCACGAGCGATGCGCTCAATATCTTCGGGATCCTCGAATGAGCTGAAGGCACCACCCTCGAAGTCAGCGGCGTGTCCGTTCTCATCGACAATCGGGGTCTTATCAATGGACTCGTCATCCGTGGAGGCAGCCGAGGAAGCACTACGAGCCTTCTTGGGGCCCTTAGAGCGGGGTTCGCTGTCATCCGACTTGGCCACGGGGGTCACGGCAGTCTTCTTGAGCTTGCAGACGTAGAAACCGTCAACGTTCTCGCGATGAGGGAAGTAACGGCGGGTGAGAGCCATCTTAGGATCGAAAGACTTGCCCATATAGCTAAGGAATCCAGGGCTACCAAAGTTACCGAGACCTGTGTCCACGATCTTAACGTTGGGACGCTTTCGAAGCACATACTGCACAACGGCCTCGTTCTCTTCGACTGTCACACTGCAAGTTGAGTAAACAACGTATCCACCGGTCTTGGAGGCATGATCGACGGAATCAATGGCAGCCAAAAGAAGCTGGCGCTGCATGTGGGGAATGGCGAGGAAATCACGCTCATTCTTTGATGTCTTAACACCGGGATCCTTCGAGATAACACCGGTACCGGTGCAAGGAGCATCGAGCAAAACACGATCAAAGCCACCCATAGCCTTGGGGAACGCAGTACGGGCATCCATGTTCGTGACAATGGTATTCTTGCAGCCCAGACGGTGAATGTTACCAATCAAACCCTTGGCACGGGGCTTACTGGCATCGTTTGCGACGACACAGCCAGTATTGCGCATCAGGGCTGACATGTATGTTGTCTTACCACCGGGGGCAGAGGCCATATCGAGGACACGCTCATTGGGCTGGGGAGCTAGAGCCATGACAGGAAGGAAAGATGAAGCAGCCTGGAGAATGTAGTGACCGGCCAGATACTCGGGGGTGGCACCCAGGGGAACCGGGGACTCGAAAACCTGCAGGCCAACCTTGGACCACTTGCCAACGGGCTCGAGGACAACACCACGGTTGATGAGGGCCTGGGCGAGGGATCGGCGATTGGTTCGCAGAGTATTGGTACGGATAACAACAGGGCGAGGAGTCTCGTTAGCTTCGAAGAAGGCAAAGGCCTCCCTGGGAGTGAACAGGTTGAACAGCTTCTCGGCCAGGAATCGAGTGTAGCCGTAGTAGGTGCAGATATCGTCGAGCAGGAGATCGATATAGTCGGTTCGCGACTTTCCGGGCAGGCCGAGGGTCTTCAGGTCACCCAGAATTCGAATGGTGTCTGTGATGCGCTGGCGAAGCAGCTGCAGATCGGGGGCAAGTCCCTGCTGAGTTTGGTCGGCGAACACATCGGGTGCAGCGATGTTGGTCTGCATGGCGGCTTCCTGCATTTCCTGCTCAGCAGCTTCCTCCTCCTCTTGTTTTTCAGCATCCAGTTTCCGCGACAGACCCTCGATGTTTGCGGCGGTCAATCTCTCTTCGGCATCGGAATCCTCATCGTCGGAGAACATGGCTCCGCGGGTGTGACCCTCCTCGTCAGAATCGACAACCGAGTCATCATCCTCTAGGTCAGATAGCCCCTCAATCTGATCATCGCTATCCATTGAGCCTTCACTGATCCCATCGAGATCACCAAACTCATCATCCTCCATATCCTCATCATCATCAGACATGGGCACCGGCACGGCCTTCTTTGTGACCGACAGCTGCTTCTTAGGTTCCTTAGAGTCGGCCTTGGGAGTAGTACCATTGACTTTCGTCTTCTTGGGGGCATCCTTCTTCGAGACAGCCTCATCGGCATCAGATCTGCGACGCTTTGCTGCTGCAGGCTTCGGAGGCGCCTCGGCTCCACCAACCTTGCGCTTCTTGAGCATTGTGATTCTTGACTCATCGAGCGGGGCTGGAGGGCCCTGCTTCTTCATACGACGACCGACACCCATTTTGAAAAAGTGGTGTGTATGGGGACGTTAGTGGTGTTTGCTTTCTGGGGAGCTTGTAATTTCTTTCCGTCTTTTTTTTTTCTTCGGGCGGTGACTTTGAGCAGTACAGAGTTGATGAAAGGCGGTGTATCCGGACACTTCATTATGTTCATGCCTTAGAATTCAGGTGTCCGTTGTCCTCTGGACATCCAAGTAAAACCCCAGGTCCAGATCTCCACTAATCCAACAACTATCGCCTTGGAATTGCTCTCTCCCTCTCTTTCTCAATCTTTGCCTTGCGAATCTCCACCACCTAATCCAAGTTGATCATCATGTCGGAGCTGACCTTCACCAAATCATTCCTGTCCACGCTGGATTCACGGCCAATCAAGCTTCGCGCCGATCATGTCTTCGACCCTGAGCAAATTGGACTACGAGTTCCCGTGAGTCTTGATGCGATAAAAGCCTAGCTTCAACTACCAATGAAGGTAATTTTAACATGCTTTTCGAAAATTATAGTACATCCTCCCCCGCCTTTCGGGCCCGCACCCTCCGATGCCCAAAAAAGTGAGGTCAACACAGGCACCAGGCTCCTCTAAATCAATCACTGTCCGGGTCAAGTCTGCCCGCAACCCTGCTCTTGAATTCCTGATCTCCAATGCCCCCCTCTCGACCACCTCTCTCCAGGACATTCGGGATGCTGTGCAATTGCGCGTCACCGATGTGCAGGGAGACCAAGTTCCGCTAGACAAGATCAAGATCTTATACAAGCGCAAGCCAGTGGCTGGAACGGGGAAGACACTAGCTGAGATATTGGCAGACGAGCCCATGATTATGGCGGGAGGCAAAGAAGTCGAGATCGGGGTAATGATCATAGGTGGCGCTCAGGTGGTTGAATCCATTGTGACTCAAAAGGAGATTGCAGAGAAGCGGGATGAAACACCACCAAAGCCTGCTATATGTCTGAGTGGCGAGGAAGCGTTGCATACAGAGGCTTTCTGGGATGACCTGCAAGGCTATCTCGAGCAGCGATTGAAGGACGAGGAAGAAGCAAAACGGTTGAGAGTGATGTTCAAGGAGGCATGGAGCTTAGCCAAGTAGAATATATCTCCACGACAGCTTAGCGAGATAATGTCAATATCGAATAATACCTGAATCCGTTCCAGTCGCTTCACATATGTCTCGTGTCTATGGTGGTCTGTCAAGGCTGAGTTTGTTCATTGAATGGGCCTGGATTCAACACACAACATTGGCTACCACTGTCCAAGGAACAATCTACATGGGCACATGGAAGCAGAGAGGGAAAACCATCCACATCAAGCAACCGACATGTCAAATGTTGGGATCATGCCAAAGGAGTGCCTTTAAACCCAATCAAGACCCTACCACAAGAGAATATGGAATAGTCTTCGAACAAGAAACGTTCTAGTTTCCATAGAAAGTAGGGCATGGACCGTAACAGTTGAAGGGAAGAAAACATACACGCACGCCAGGGAATCTTTGTCGAACATGTTATCGGCGAGGTAAAAAAGTACACCTGTTGAAAAAAAAAAGAGATGTAACGAAAGCAAAATCACGTAGCAGAGTATCATGAGCCACACAGCGTCGGTAAACACCGTTTCAAATGCTCGAGAGGAACTGGTCCGGCCAATCGCTCATCCAGTTCATGGGATCATACAGAAAACGACGAGTAAACGCGGAGAGATAAACACACACAGGTATAACGCAAGAAGAATCATACATGGGTTTTCATTTCGTCGTTTCAATCATCGAGAGCAGACCTTGACCACTCCGTCCCCGCCACCGCCAGCGACCCAGTTGCCATCACGGCTCCATACCACAGCACAGACCCCTTCGCCACGCATCAGACGGAAGTGCGTCACCTCCTGGGTACAGCTGCGCTTCTCAAGGTTCCAGAATCGCAAGCTTGCATCGTGGCCAGCAGAAACGAGCTCACGTCCATCCGGAGATAATGACAGTGAGGCTATGGCAGCAGGATGAGCAAGCATTGTGTATGTACATTGACCTGTATCAAATGTTAGCGGATTGTGGCAGATATCATGATCCCTTTTGGTGCCACCTACCACTATTTGCATCAAAGAAGCGGATGTATCGGTCCTCGTAACCACTGATTATTACACCCTCTACGCTGCTTGATCCAGTAGCTCCGTGAACCACTTCTTCCTCTTCGGCCATCGCGCGGTTGGGATCAAGATTAACTGTTCCATCAAAGCCGACAGTTGTGGCGACGACTGAATTCACCCCAGTAGCTGGCGTGCCATCATATGTCTCGAGGCTGGCCATACTCGCAATTTCCTCGCCGGTCCGCGTGTCGTAGACAATGATAGAGGCATCCGAGTAGGAGACGACAAAATTGACGCCCGCAAGAGACAAGGGGCTAATACATGTTGGGGAAGGGGAATTTGGGCGGGGGATGCGATGAACAATGGTATAATGGAAAGCTGGGGTTGTAGCGACACTGGGTTGAGGCAAGGTTGGGATGTTAGGACCTGACGGCATTGAATTTGAGTTCGCCCGCTGGCGAGTACCTTGACGGCGATTTCCAGTCGGGGATGCGGCACCGATGGCCCAAATAAAGACGTAGCCATCTGCTGCGCCGGAGGCCAGAAGGATGCGATCTGATCCACCATGTTGGCTGCTTGAGTCGCCAAAGACAGAGCCCATGGTCCCGGGAAGAACGCAGAGTCCCCAGACTGCATCTTTATGCTCGTGGAAGGTGGCCTTGGGATCAATCCGCTTAGGTTCCCATAAACGCACGGTACCATCTTGACCGCCTGAAAACACCAACCCATTACCCAAAGCACGGCCGCCATTGGAGATGTTCTGAGATGGCGAGCAAGCGGCAAGGGAAGTCACGGCGCCTTCGTGTCCGCGATGAGTAAAGGAGCTTGTAATGTCCGAGCCACGACTAGAACCAGCACTAGAGCCAACAGAAGTAGCTGGGATGATCCACCGCTTGATCGTTCCATCGTCGCTGCAAGTGCAGATCTCAGGATTCTCCGCGCTACCACTAGTAAAGATGACAGATCGGATCACATCCAAGTGGCCACGCAGCTCAAACCGAACTTGAAAGTTCGAATCTTGCTGTTGTCCCGTTTCCCGGGGATTAATTGCACCATCACTCTTGCATCTTGAGTCCAAACTCGTCCTATGGTGGGGGAGAGACCCGCCCTTTGTCGCCTCAGAGTGCACAAAGTTGACATTGGGGAAAGCATCGGTATCCGGGCGATGAGGCGGGATGGGTTCGGTGATCACGAGTTCCTGCTCCGCCGGTTCGTCAAAATTCCACCCATCCACATCCTCTGTTCTTTCCTCGGCCAAATTTTGCAGAGCCACATCTTCCTTGACGACCACTCGGGGGCCCTGGGTCTCGTATGCCTGGTTTGGACGATCTTCCGTCATGCCCTGTTCATATGACTGGGTTCGATTTTCGATCGCTGCGACGGAGGCTTGCTGCGGGTCTATTGACCGTCTATCCATGCCTTCCCGAGAAAGATACTGGTTTTGAACACGAGCCATGGTATTTTCAGTAAATTGATTTGACAACGGTTGTTGTTTTTGCGAGACCATATCACGTGCCATGACGTGGTTCGACTTCTGCCGCTGCTGCTGAAGATAAGCCTCCTCTAGATTCTGTTGCGACAGCTGCGAATTGCCATATAGCTGACCTGACATGTCAGAGTCGTTCATGTCAGGTGGCGGGTGGGAGGCGGGTATGACATGGTAGGCAATCTCGTGGGAGGCTTTGGACAGGTATGTTCGGACTTTGTCAATGTCCTCAATTTGAGCCTCATGCTGGTTTTCATTGCCGGGTTCTGCATCATTGTCATGGTCCGTGCTCGGCTTGGGGCGATGCGCTGGTGAACAACTCAGTTAATATTCCCACGCCGCGTGCTGGTATGCAACTGCGAGTCACATACCTTTGAGGAATTTGACACTTTCACGTGCAGTATCTTTGGGATCTATAGAGTCTTCGGACCGTTCGTTGTTCGAAAGCTTCTTGACCTTCTCCCTCTCCCTCTTTAGGGCGGTCTCCATCAGCCGAACATGCTTCCCAAGGGACTCATGTAAGCGTTTGCTTGTGCGCAGATCACCTTCCAATCGACCAATACGAGATTTCATCTCTGCCCGTTCAATCTCCCATGCATTGCGGTCTCGCTCATGTCGGTGCCATTCTGTCTGTAGGAAGCGCATTACACCTGGAAACGGTTTTAAATCAATTGGCATTCAAGAGATCAAAATTTAATCAATGCTCACCCTGTAATGTGTATTCCGTCCCCTGTGGGCCATTCGAGCCATCCATGGCGCCGGCCGTTCCTCCGATCCCAGCCATGGCGGATGGCGATTGCCAGGGCATGAACAGACACAGGACGGGTCGAGGCTCGGAAGGGTCAAAGCACTGCAGGAGGTACCAAGGGGAAAATCAGGCCAGCGGCAAATCAAGCGACGTGGAAGGTGCAAGCTTTGGTTTCTCCTGACCCCAGTAGCTCGTTTCCGCAGTAAGCGAACCAAGTCCCCTATTGGCGACGGCAATGAACCACGTTCCACGCCGAGTCAGCCTGTGAGTGGGGTTCCCTAAGGAGGAATATCCAAAGGAAAGGAGTAAGGTCGGACAATGACAGGAAAATTGCCAGGATGGGAATATGCCTTTAACTGATATTTTGTTGTGATGAAGATGGCTTGGCCTCGGTGGGCATCTGACCGCCTTCTAGATAGAGAAGATTGACCTACACGCTAGTTCCAGCCCTGGAAGTACGATGACTTGGTAAGCAACTGGATGGAGGATTTTCGTATGAAAGGTAGACATGAGAGAACTTTGGATGTGGTGGAAATTTCAGTCGACTCCATAGGAACAATCAAAGGTCAATTTCCGTCGAAGCGACTTGTAAAGTGCCCAAACCCTCAGGCGCTAATGACAAGGCCTACGAAGTCACAACGTGAAACCAAGTATACACTTCACAGCATAGATGCACCATAGACTTGCCCCTTTTTATTTTGTTTTGTGAATCTACATTGCCAAGTCACTTTTATAATCACCCAATTGGAACGAGATCTTTCAGCTACTCTAGGTGTACATCCCTTTTTACAGTAGTCCAACAGCCTGAGAAAGGGATGACTGCAGTGCAATTCACAGAAATTTCTCAAAAAGACTCATCGAAGTAACTTTTTCAACACCGAAAACTGGTTTTTGATATATCTGCTAAATTGGCTCGTGGGCTCATCTGATAATCAATCATGCTATGGTACATTCTGCTCTTCTAGAACTCGAGTTCTTCCACTTCCATCCCACATTCTACACACGTCTTGACACCAATTCCAGTTTCTGGGTTATCAATGGATCGACCCCATTGGTGAACATGCTTCCGCCCAGAACCGAGATCGTCGCCAAACTCTCCGCCCGAAGCACCTTGACGATTGCGTCGGTAGGCCTCCACACGTGTGCGTTTCTTCAGCTCCTGCAGCTTAGTTTTGAATTTGGCCTCCCGTCGCCGTTTCTTGTCACTTTCTCGCCGCTCGAATTCAGCATCTAACGCCTCTGTTGAGCCCCATTTCTTGTCGGAAAACGCGTATTCTTCGACCTGGTATCGTAGATACAACATCATGCTGTTCCACGTAGATTTATGTGGATTCGGACGCTCGAGCCGTGGGAGAAGTTCTTCGTCTCGGAGTTCGGCTGCGCACAGGCTGATTAGCACATGTCGCTTTTCAAAGCCGACAATTAGGTACTCACGATCTGTCAAGAGATAATCCTCTTTGGCTTCTGTCTTGGTCAACAAACTGTATTTCTCTGGGTGTTTCTCCTTGCAAGCATGACAGATGCAACACTTTAGTTCTTCTTCCCATTTCCAATCAATTTCGCGACTGCCACATTCACGACATGTCTTCTGCTGGCTTTTATCATCCAGGACACTTAGACCCGGTTCAAAGGGCCCCTCCCGATTTCGCTTAAGTGATTGGAGTATCTGATGGCGTTCCCATTCCCTCTGCGTCATGTGTGCTGGCTTTGGCACTTCTTTCCCATCCGGCACGTGTAGTTGTTTATTGAACGGGTCATCCTCTTGTGTCAAAAATCCACCCTTCGTGTCGGTCATCTTGCTAAAGTCGTAGTCGACATAGCTGGTGAAGTTTCGGGCTGGTTTAATCGAGTCTAGTGGGCGATTGGAAGAAGATGCATCGCGCAAATTAGCAGGCTGATAGGATGTCGCCATCGAGGTGAACGAGCGCTTGGCGCCTGTTGCAGGCTGGGAGATGTTTGGAGCGGCTTGAGATATTTCGGCTTCACGTTTCTCCCGAAGAGCTTTAGCTTTCATGCGATTAATTTCCTAATCAGCAAGGCTGGTTAGTTTTGGCCGGCCACATTGCAAGCTTGGAAGGAACTTACTATCCTCCGTTGCTGTTCTGGAGTCATGGGAGCGCGGTGAAGCTGTCCTGCGCTCGAGCCCTTGTGCTGCGAAGGCGGGGTTGAGGGCTGTTCTCCTGACATCATGAGATAGTTTTTTGACCTGTGGAAAGTAGCGGTCGTTTTCGATGTCCACAGTTTCGGTGGTGTGAACATCAAGACAGAAGGCGGCCAGAGCCCTGATCTGCCAGTCACGTGATATTCGGATTCTAAACGCGACGTCATTGCCGTATCCCAGAAGTAAGAGCACGGAAATCAATGTTTCGGAGTAATCAGCTTAAATTGGTAAAATCGATTAAACCGAGAACCTAGGACTCTGCAGCCGGATTTTTCAAGTCTTCCTCTCGATCATGGCCATACAAAACCTCACACACGCCCCCTACCGGCACGTCCATGACGGCGTCGGTTCCCTCATTCCAAATTTCACGCCAATTGACCTTGCGATTTTGGGGGCCCATGATCTGATAGGAGGTGGCACCGGGCTTCATCTTGGTAGCACCACCGGGACGTCTGCGCGCCTTTCCATCAATCACCGATACATTCGCGACCTCGTCAACAATGTTCTCGATGCTGTGCATGGGCAAGGTAAGGTAGCCTGTATTATATGTGGCGAGTGCGGCATAAATGTAGATAAGTAGCATCACCAACCATGCGGGGATTGCCAGCGACCACCAACGGTTGGGATAATAGTAGATACCTAGCTGGTGCAGGAAAGGGGATGGGAGATAAGACCATAGGAGATAAAACACTTAGGTTGGTCCGGTCAGTATGCGGGAAACTACAAGAGACTGCACCGGTCGATTTCCATGATACTTACAAAAAGCCGAGGATGAAGCTAGGTATAACACGAAGCCATAGTATTCATAGGTAGGCACCTTGGGGCTGGCGCGCGGGACGGTGGTTGCGCGACGAGCTGACTTGGCGACTGCCGCCTCGGTATCGTTAGGAGTTTCTACATCGGAACTATCCGGGGTAGTCGGGCGTGATGTAGTGGTCGAAAATGGCGGCCGAAGAAGAGAAGTGAGTGATGGAGAGGGTGGTAGAGGGGTGGGTGGGCGATTGTAGAACGGAGGCGCGAATGCATTGGGGCCATGGAGAGAGCTGGAGGACTGGTGAAATGTATGATTCCGCTCAATGTTAGAGGAGTCATCGGAGTCTGTATCGGAGAATGATTGATGCTCTAGCGAGTAGTGCGACTGGAAGTCCGCATCATCTTCCACCTCAATCTCCTCATATCCGGTGGAGGTGATACTCTCGTCTTCATAACTCTCTTCCGGTTCTTCCGCGGATGTAGGGTCTTCGGTCAACAGGGGAGGGAAGGGCTGTTTGGCCTCCAAGGACGTATTGAACGTCCTTGCTGAGTTCTCCATTTTGCAAAATGATGAAGAGTTGGTCTTCCTGGTGTCTCCCCTTTTTCTGCATCACCAGATTCACCGCCCATCTCCATCTCCACCTTCATCTACTTTTTGTCATGGACTTTTCAGATTCGCAATTGATGCTATTTGATTAGTTTCTCATATAACAGCCATGTCGTCGATTGCCAAGCATCAGTCAACTTTTTTTTGGATTGGTCTCTTGAATGGAATTGAATTTATGTGGAGACGAAGGATCGAATTGATACAAGAACCATGTAGGGACACTGAAGGTCAAGGCAATATACATATACATATTGCGTAGCTAGATATCCTTGCAAGGGATTGAGAAGATTGAGATGTTCATCCCAAACTTCCCCAATTACCGTTCAGATCGACGTGTGTTTGTCGCAAAAGGCGGCACACTCCGCTCTCGGCCTCGGACTTGGACAAGAATTCCCAATTCCCAATTCCTCCAAAGCTTACACTTCTTCTCTTCTGTTTTTCGCCATATCCTCCTTTTCCCGACCATCTCCCCCAAACCACTATGGATACCACTGAACTGGAGCATGTGCGCGGGGTTTGGGAGCGAACCAAAAATGATAGCCCTATTTATCGCCTTCTTCTACCTGATGTTGATATTATTAGTGCAACTCGCGGCCAGATGCAGGCCCGACTTAAGCTCACAGCGGAACATGTCAATTCCAGGGGCACCATTCACGGGGCTGTCTCTGCAGCCATCATCGATTGGGCCGGGGGCATGTCGATAGCCACACATGGATACGAGAGAACAGGTGCAAGCATTGATATCCACGTTACATATCTGTCGACTGCCACCATCGGAGATACTCTGGATATCTCTGCCGTTGCTGATCGGGTGGGGAAGTCAATGGCCTTCACGTCCGTCAACATTTCCCGAGTCGTCGATGATGAAGTGGGTCCCTTGGTTTCGAAGGGTTCACACACAAAGTTCCTGCCTGTCTCCAAGGAGAATCGTGAACCAAAGAGCCGAACCTCATTCCAATGATGTTGTACTTAGACATATAATCTTTCGATTCTTGGACATCTCCTCGCAATTCTTCCCAGTTCTACCTAGGAAGCTTCTTATTTCCAATCATGTCCTCCCCCGTCGAAGACGTTATGCCACCCATCTACGATAAGTTCTTGACCAGCAGCATACTGCGCCTCGATACTAATCAAGAAAAGCGTAGTGTTATCCTGACAAATTCATCCACTGCCATAGGTACTATTCCCTACTTCCTTTCCAAGCTTGGGCGTAGATTTTCCGTCAAGCCGGGGCTTTAGAAACGCACAACGACTTGATAGGAACGTTACTACGTTCTACACTCCGTAGGTAGGCCAAGAACTGCACGTTCAGGTTTCCTACTGTATATTGTATGTTGTACTCCCTACACTCTATCTCCGTAGCATCTCAGTGGTAAGCATATTTCCATGTCACCTATCCTCTCTGTTGGTTGACTCTTATAAGAACTTACCCATCTATGATGGGAGTATTCAGAAATTCTCAACCCTTTCCACGTGAGTCCATCGACCTCTCAGCTTATATATATCTTGACATTCCACAATATTTCAAACTCAACATCCATGTGCTGTACAAAATTTTCAGCCCTCCACCGCTAGAGTCCCCCCTTACATTACTGACAATTGAGGGGGGAAAATAGCCGAGCTTCTGGCAAGGTTCCTGTTCAGCCTTGAAAGTGTACAGAGCACTCACACTGATCCTTGCACCATTCTCGCACGTTTACGATCATCAGATAGGTTGAGAGACATAGGCACACCGCATTACATTCAGATTATTGATCTCAGCATACGGAGTACATGAACTTGGTCTCTTCAAAAGTCTCATCTCCCGGGGGGAATTACTCGATCAGCGGGGCCAAATCTTTTTTTTTTTTTGGAAGACCCGCATTGGCCGGGGAATGAAAATATAGGCACGTTATACTCCGTAGATGTGTTTTTCTAAATCGTTTGGTTCGACATACAAAATACGAATAACTTTCTACCCATTCTCCAGGTTCTACATTTTCTGAAAATTCCATGTTCAAGAGTACTCCGCACACACCTGTCGCCAAGGCAAAAAGACCCACAAACTATCGGATCGACAAGACCGCTTTGGATCAGTCTCTAGGGCCCATCAGCTCTTACATATACGAACTGGTCTCCGCGGGTGACAGGTCTTAAGGATGCGAAGAGTGTTGCTTTTTTCTTCACTTCTTTTCCCCGGCACTCTTATTCGTATAAGCCCCCTCTTGCCTGTTGTGTCTGTCATTTTCATCTCAGTCATTTTCTTGGCTTGTATATATCTCCCTGTGTTTCAATTTGGAGACTACACGCACCATGTCAAGTATAACGGTATAATCATACTCCCTTCCACTCCATAGAGAGATCCTTGCTTATCTGATCTAGGATAATGACACAAACATTGGTTCGTCACGAGGTGACGCGTCGACTACCTCCAGTGAAATCGCCAGCGGTCTCATCGGGGGAGGGGGCTCCTCGGGCTCCGCGCTGATCATGACCCTATTACCAGCACTCGCATATGCTATATTTTGGGTCAGCCTCTTTCTGATCTTTCGGCGAACCCAGCGCCGATGGTACGCTCCGAGATCCTACTTACCCGATATACACGAGCATCAACGGAGTCCCGAGTTGCCTTCTGGCTGGGTTAACTGGCTGGGGACATTTTTAAAAATTGAAGACAACCATGTGCTTCACCATTCGTCGCTTGACGGCTATCTTTTCTTGCGATTTTTGCGCGTTCTGGCGGCAACATGCCTGACAGGCTGTGTGATTACATGGCCGATTTTGCTACCCCTCCATGCCACTGGGGGCAATGGCAACACGGAGCTTGATATCCTGAGTTTTAGTAACATCAAGAGCCCTGACAGATACTATGCTAACGTTATAGTGGCATGTGTTTACTTCAGTAAGTTTCTCGGCATTCATCCATAGAACAGCCCACTGACAAGCAAAGCCTTCGTGTTTTATGTCGTGGTCCGAGAAAGCCTGTATTATGCAAATCTTCGCCAGGCCTACCTCAACTCGCCTGCCTATGTCTCTCGAATGTCGTCCCGGACAGTTCTCTTCATGTCAGTTCCAGACTCTTACAAGAACGAACAGAAGATACGACAAGTATTTGGAGGTTCGATCCGTCGAATCTGGATTACCTCCGACTGCTCAAAGTTGCAAAAGATGGTTGATCAACGAGACCGACTAGCCGAGAAGTTGGAAACCGCAGAGACCAAGCTCATTCGACGAGCAAACAAAGTTCGCACTCAGGCAATCAAAACAGGCGAATTGAATATCGATACATGTCTGGACTGCGAATCAAGCAATCCAGCATGGTCTCACAAGGTCGAACGTCCCATGCATCGACTGAGACTATTTGGCGAAAAAGTCGACTCTATCCACTGGTATCGGGCAGAGCTCGCAAAGAAAACCGAAGAAGTATCAAATCTGCAAGCAAAACACCAAAATGGCGAAGCGAAACAGCTCAGTGCAATCTTTGTCGAATTCAACAGCCAGGCCGATGCACAAATCGCCCTACAAACCCTGTCGCATCACCAACCGTTTCATATGACGCCTCGCTTTACTGGAGTGTCGCCCCGCGAAGTGGTATGGTCGGCATTGAATCTTAGCGGGTGGCAAAGAATTGTGAGAAGATTCGCAGTCCAGGGATTTTTGGCAGCAATGGTCATCTTTTGGTCATTCCCTGCGGCAATCGTTGGTGCAATTTCGAACATCACATACATCTGCAAATTGATTCCCTTCCTTGGGTTCATCCTTGACTTGCCCGATTTCATAAGAGGTGCAATTGAGGGTCTTCTGCCTGCCGCAGCTCTAGCGGCTTTGATGTCACTAGTGCCGATCATATGTCGCAGTATGCTCTCCAAGTTCGTATTCCTCCGAACCATTGCTAACTTCTACACAGTATGTGCTAGACGTGCTGGAGTCCCATCAAAGGCACGAGTTGAGCTGTTCACACAAAGCGCCCACTTTGTCTTTCAAGTGGTCCAAGTGTTCTTGGTTACGACCCTGACATCGGCTGCGTCGGCTGCTACTGCACAAATTATCAAAGATCCTCTCTCAGTCAAAGACCTGCTGGCACAGAACCTACCCAAGGCGACGAATTTCTACATCTCTTATTTCCTGCTGCAGGGATTGAGCATGAGTTCCATGGCCCTTGTTCAAATTGTCAGCGCCTTGGTGTTCAAATTCGTCACCACCTTCTTTGCCTATTCCCCTCGTCGTCTGTTTCAAGGATGGGCCGAACTGGCCAGTCTCAGCTGGGGCAACGTCTTCCCCATCTTCACCAACATGGCTGTAATCGGTAATCGATGCCCTACTCATACCTTGAGCGAGGATCAACTGACTCAATTCCTTAGCGTTGACGTATTCATGCATCGCACCTCTGATTTTGGGATTTGCCTTCCTCGGACTTTATCTTGTATACCAAGCCTATCGATATAACTTCCTCTTCGTATATGAAATCCAAGTCGACACAAAGGGGCTAGTCTACCCACGAGCCCTGCAACATTTGTTAACGGGTCTCTACCTGGCTGAGATTTGCTTGATAGGACTTTGCGCCATCAAGGGCGCTGTTGGCCCAGTCATCATCATGGCCCTCTTCATGGTTGGCAACATCCTAGCACACATGTCGCTCAACGATGCACTCGCCCCACTGAATACTTTCTTGCCACGATCCCTCGACGTCGAAGAGGAACTGCTTCAAGAGAAAGAAGAAGCAGTGGCAGCGATCAACGAAGAGCGCCGTCCACGCGCAATGGCCTTCTGGAGATGGTTCCATCCGAACGTATATAAAGATTACGCGGCATTGCGTCAAAAGGTTCGCCGTGATGTCGAGGGGGTCTGCTACACACCCGAAGAGATGCGCACAGCATATTTCGAGCCATGTGTAGCATCACCACCACCGACTTTGTGGATTCCACGCGATAAGTGGGGGTTCAGTAGCCATGAGGTCATGGAGACAGATTCGATAATCAGTATCACGGATGAGGGTGCGCACTTAAATGAGAAGAACAAAATCGTGTGGGATAAATATGACCCTCATCTTCCTTTGCGGGAATTGAAAACCCTATATTGATCATGGCCATCTGCCTTGAAATTAATGACTTGATGAAAGCGATGGATTAGGTGATTTTAAACAACAATGCTAATATGTGATAACGCGGCTGGGAGAATCAAGCGCACTCAAATGCTTATAATATGGTCGAGCCATTTGTTCAGCACAAACCATACCATTGAGGTAGAATTTCATCAGACAGTCAACGTAAAATTCACAGCGTTCACGTCACCACCATCCCGCGGGAAGAATTCGAAAGTGAACACGGTCGATTGGCCAGCGGAGATGACAGAGCTAATAGCAGATGAAGTGAGGATAACATGGGAGTCGTCCCAGTCATACTGGCTGCTGTAGGTCTAGGTCGATATATCAGTATTGACGAGAGGTACACAAAGGGGAATAGGGCTCGGCTTACAGCTCTCGCTTGCTGCAAAGGACCCAGTGATACTGTCCAGTCATCGACCAGATATGTTCCACTCTTGGTCAAAGCCTTTACGGAGGCGACAGTTGGCAGTCCACGCCAGGTGATTGGAATTGATAGGTCAGAGCCAGAGACAGATGAGGCCACTGCCGATGTAGATGACAGAGTTGGAGCGTTCCACTGAACAATTTGGATGACAGGGGACAAGTCACCCCCGGAGAATTTCAGGGTTAGAGTGGCAACAACACCCGGTGCTGTCGTGGCCGAAAGATGCTTGGATAAGTACGAAGCAGTGAAGACTATGTTCGTACCCGAGACAGAGTAGTCTGCTCCCGACAATGTCGTGCCAGTAGAGTCACTGATGGAAGAGAGCGTGTTTCCGTTGAAGATAAATGGAAGACTCTGTGCTGTCACAGCTGTTCCATACTGATGGAAAATATAAGCCGACGATGATTGGGTGGTTGCAGACCCGTCCTCGGTACTATCTGGCAAGCTATTTGCGGTAGAATTGTTGGATTTTGTGATGATAGAGAGTGAGTTAGGATCACGCCAAACTCCGGTGGTTCGATCCAAGAGGTCCAATCCACTATCCCACAGCACGCAGGAGATGTCAAGACTAGCTGCAGTCTTGATCAAGAAGTCAACGTACTTCCATCGAGCAGCGGGCTCAGTGTTGGTGAGTGAGGCATCGTATTCACCCAAAACGAGAGGTACATTGGGGAAAGCGTCACGCAGCTTCTGGAAGTCAGTCCGTACGGTAGCCTTGTCACTATCGGAGCCCCAAATGGTTTTTCCCCTGTCTGGAGTCAGTAAATGATGCCAAATGTGCCGAGTCTATATTCTTACCAAGCGCTGAAAATAAAGTCGTCTAGAAGCCAGCCACGTTTGTTAGTTCAACTTCACGCATTATAGCTACATAGGCATCAACTGATTTGTGACTCACAGGGACTGTAGTAGTGGAACTCAATAGCATATGGATTCGAGAATCCTGAGGGCGCAACAAACCAGTCTGCAGTCTTGACGCTATCCTCACCACCACCGACCAAAGTAACAACTCTTTGCGAGTTGAACCCACCAGCATCGTTGATAGCCTGGAGGAAGATCTTGTTCAGTTTGTTGAGCTCGGTGCCGTCAGCTGCAGTATTGCATGGAGGCTCATTGATAGGCTCAAAGGCAACAAGGCTGGACTTGCAGGCCAACTTAGTTCCAATTTGATACCAGAGACGGTAGAATTTTTCTTCGATCATGGTAAGATTAGCTCCGGACTGGGTTATATCAGCCCAAATCCATGAATCTGTTCTGCGTCAGTAAAGAATTATGGTGGATACAAGGTCATGTTTTATCATACCATGATGCACATCAACGATGGCGTAGAGCCCACGGGTCACAACCATATCAACCACATCGGAAACTCGCTGCAACCATGCTGGGTCAACCGTCCAATCAGGTGAGCTTCCGGTAAAGTGATGAGCCCAGGTAACTGGGAGCCGAACACTTTTAAAGCCGGCAGCTTTCACGGTATCAAATGTGGACGCCACCACTGGCGCATTATTCCAAGATCCTTCATTGGGGACAGCATCAAGGGTATTTCCAAGATTCCAACCGGGATGCAAATTAGATACAAAATCAGCGGCTGAGATTGCACTAAAATTTCCAGTGCAAACAGGTCTCGCCGGTGCTGCAGATGGGATTGCACTGACTATTCCAGTACAGTCAGCTCCCGCCGAGGCAGCAGCTGTCTGGGCTATACCGGCGAGGGCCACGAGGGCACCAGAAAGAAGAATTTGCATGACAAGATCTAATATTCAAGTGAATTTACAGAAACGGATTCGAAAAGCTGGACAAAATCGTCGGCACCCCAAGGATATTTATGGCAAAACAAATAGTCGCATTCGATACACTATGCCCTAATCCTCCTCGAATCTGCGGACCGGCGGACCGGTGTTCTTCCCACATTAGAGCCCAAACGTCAACCCTTGACTTGTAGGCCAAAGGGGGGGTATCTAGTTGACGGGGGTCTTCCTAGTGCTGAGGGTACCCACACTTGCTAACGGTAACCCCCTATCAAAACATCATCCTGTCATTAGCCCCCTTTTAACCCTTAACCATGCCATATACTGTAGTCTCCTTGTTACACCCGTAACGATAATGGATTTTAATCTCGAAATCTATTTCTAATAGATCATCTAGTTTATATTACCAACGTACCTCCCTAGGCGGCAAGATTAACCCCTAAGTACTCCGTAATGTAGAAGAATGAGGGCTAGGGTACGCGCGGCGTCCATCTGGTATACACATAGAGATGTATTCAAGTGGAAATATCCGTGGTTGAAACAAAAACGAAAGTTCAGAAAATTCATGGGGAAACGTATGAGTACCAGTGTCCTACTCGCACTCCTAGATAGATATTACCACAACACACGAACCATTCAATGAGATATGCGTAAGTATCAGATGTTTTGTAGTATTGGTGATATGGATGGTGTAGTCTTTGTCCAAGGGGAAGACTAGCTGGGAAAAGGTGCAATCTCTCCTCCAATAAGAAGTCTCTTTCCCACAAATACAATGTGAGAGTCCTTTCATTTCCACAATCCTAGGGCAGAACAGGTGTAATCAATGCGGACAAGTCCAAAAATAGCTAGGCATTGTGCATGTCACCCGGTGTCTGCGTGTTTTATTGGGCGCGGAGAACCCCCGTGTTCTATTTTATAAACCCGTGGAAGATCGGGAGACAAGTGTGTGTCACAGAGAATCACACAGATTTATCATAGACATGTGATTTCTCTGCAGAATAGTTTTGTCCCATACGAAGTATGTAGATGCGTAGGGCTTCATTCCATCATTGATTGCATTGGCGTATAGAAAACACCAGGGTCTCTCATAATTTCCAGGTCTGGCATTATTCTTCACATCACTGTGCATTCTTTGTTCCGTTCTGTCTCCGGTCCGTTATGATCCCCTGCACGCATAGACGGGCGTGATCGGTGAGAATTCTGTGGAGTTCGAATCCGAGAATTCCGGTTACCAGGGTACTGATTTCCTGAAGAATTACCGTATGACCTTCTTTCAGGGGGCGAATAGCGTGGCCCACTAGCAGCTTGTTCATAGGGAGGAGGGGGTGCATTTGGGTCCTCAATGTCAGGCCCACGCTGTGGCTGGGGCCTAGGCTGGGAAACAAGTGCACTGGCAACGCTCGAAGATCGATTAGGTACATTGCTCAAACAAGGTGAAGGCAATGGTTGATTGGAAGAATTACTCGGGGCAGAGGTCCGACGATCGTGGGCCTGCTCGTTCCTAGCATTTTCACGTCGCTCTTCTTCTTGGAATTGAAGTGAGAGCGCATAGGCATAGTCTGCATCACTCTGTTCTTGAGTCGGCTCGGGGGAGGTCGATGCTTCGTTTGCACTTTCCAATCGAGTGGCTGGCTCTATCAATGTTCGGGGACTGGCGGGGCCAGGACCAGATGGGACCGAGGGCCCAGCGCCCACGGGGCGAAAGTCGCCAGAGTAGTATTCTGTGTTAAACCCTGTCACGTCGACTAGACATTCCCAAACCACTTCGGCATGGCCCGCGTAGCCAGCATCAGTAACTAAAGTATAAAGTTGGTGAGATTGCGGGTGTTTATATAGAGTCGAGAAATGGTCATTGCGGAAAAGGATGGAGACAGATCCAGGTGCAAGTTTAGTCGAGAGCTGTGTCAAGCCAAATGGGCTTAATTGTGTCGCATTCTCATGTTCCACAAATTGTTGAATGCTTTGGATATCTGCCATGATATTCTCTTCCTCGGGTTCAAGTGCCTCGCCTCGCGCCACCCGTTCCTCAAATTCTTGTCTACGAAAAGGCAACATTTGAATGTCCTCGTAATACTGACCAGTCCGTGACATTGCAGCATGAGTAGGACTGGACCAAGAGGCTAGCCAGCCATGGATCAATGGTATACCAAAGGTGCTATATAGCCGAAGATCATTATTTTCGAGGAAAGTGCCAAATCCTTCAATAGACTCCTAATAATAGGTTAGTCTGAGTGAACCTTGACGGATAAAACGGATGTAGTTACCATTGTCAAACGTGGGTTCACATTCATGCCCGTATGCAGCATTGTCAGAAATTGAGTAAGGGCCTCGATATCTGGGAACTCCTCATCAGGGCCCAGGCATGTTGTCAGCTCTTCAAACATCGCCTCGATTAGCAGGCCTAGAGAAATTTGCTCGCGGGTTGACAGAGCTCTAATGATTGGCGGGCGAGCTTTGGGGTTCGCTCGCAGCACCAGTGCATTGATAAGAGCCAGCAGTGGACAGGGTCCGTTCTGATTTTGGACCAAGATAGGGGACTCCAGTAGTTGACCACTTTGACTGGTCCATCGGATGTGTCGAATAGTATAGGTTTCTGATCTTTGCTTCTTTTGTCGTGCAGTTTCGGCGGCAGATAGTACGGGGCTTGCTTGGGGTTGTTGTGGCTGTTGCACCACGGAAGATGCGAGGTCTTGATTTCCTGGCAATGACCTTTCTTCGTACGCCGCTGGTTCTGAGTGCACAGAAGACGCAGCATGAGACCAGGTATCGACCCCCAAATTGCCAGCGACGCCCAACAAACCCAAGTCAATAAGTTCAGGAGATGTGATGGAGGTTCCACTAGAGAGAGCAACAGATAAGTTGGTGATTCCAGGATCCGAGTCGAGCCTCCCTGAATTTGATGGAGGTAGATATTGTGCGTGGGCATGGTTTTTCCCATCTGACAGGTCAAACGGCTGTACAGCAACCGCCGAGATATATGGAGTTGACTGCACTCCTTGAAGGTAGATTTCTTGGGGGGCCGAGACCTTGATGGACTGTTGAGACCCCCACGGTGAGTTGTCATCGAGGCGATGACGGCCTGACATGAGGCGTTGCTCGGAATGAGAATACGGAAGAGAAGCCTCGGCCCATTGTGATTCTTGTTCGGGCTCATCTAAAAGAGAGAGCCGTGCAGTCATCGGAATATAACCTTCGGCTGTAAATTGTTAGCAACAGATATCATTTTGAGAGGACTTTCAGAAGCCAGCAATGCCATACATTGGCTCAATGCGTCACTGTTAGAAGTCGCATGTGAATTACGGCCCCACTCATTCCGATCCAAGAGATCTTGAACATGCTCTGCCGGCCTAGGCTTTAAGAATGGATTATTCGACTGTAGCTGTACCGGTAGCTCTCCAGTCAAATCCTGCCCAGCGTCAGAAGTTGACCGCCACACGTTCTCGGCCGCTCCTGTTTGTTGACCTGCCATCAATGTAGGTGGAACATAGTGCCCGCTTGTATCTGCAAGTTCCTTGTATGCCTCATTCTGACTATACTGGCCGGAGCTGCCATCGTTTATCCTTCCGTTATTTTCTGGCCAGGAGTTCGGTGGCTGGTGGGTGGGTGACCCCACTGGCGACCGCTGTGCCTCTTCAAGTGGCATCAGGTCAAACGCAGGTGAAGTGTTAAGGTCGGGGGAGTAGATGGAGTCTTCAGAAGAAAATCGATTCAAGCGAGTCGGGCGGTGGGAAGACGCAGAGCTGGGTGATTTGGGCGAGTGTGCGTTCAATCGAGAACTTGACTTGTCAATGTTCTTTAGACGCGGTGGGGGCTGTTTGCGCAGGCCCATGAAGACGCCCGTTGACGTTGACCTAGTCAGAAGTGGGGGGAGGTGAAGGCTTGAGTTCGTGTATAGTTCTAGAGATGGTAAAGCTAACAAAGCATTCAACGTCAACTGAGAGCACACCCAGAAGAGTCTGTTTTCTCGATCTGAGAGTGAATTCAGGATGTAAACCCAAAGTAATAACAATAAGCCATTAGGTATGTGAAGAACGCCTTGCGCTGTGGCAGCAGAGGCTGAAGTACCCGGATACGCGTATACGTAAATGATGGATAATAGCCTGGCGTTGAGGTTGAGCTCGGGAATGTATGCCCCAGATGGAGAGAAACCCAAGGCAATGACAGAGGTGGATGATGATCTCAGTCGCTCTCTCTCTCTTGCAAGGCACCCGAATTCCGCAGATCCACCCGATCGCTGGTTGACCTGGGGGAAGCTCCGACGCCAGTATGTGTATTTACCGTACGGAGTATTGTTCACATGAAAGAGTGGCCCCAGTGGAGTGGCGGTACTATCACGGTATGGGGTCGTATGCCAGAGACTTTCAGTGACTGTTCACAAGTTTTAGCACCCCAGCTCCACACCACTGCGATTATAAAATATTCTGCCAGCCGTAAAGATTTCTTTCCATACCGTTGTACATTAAAATCTCTAGCTTTCAATGGTTGTCTACACAAGGCTAGGCATCATTTAAGGAAAGTAAATAATAAGAAAAAAATCCAGACATACGACATGAACTTGAGAAAGATAAGGTCCACTAGTCCACCTTGCATAGGCGGTATCGGTGATAAAGGAAGGCGGTATGTAGGCAGGGTTAAAAGGGGGTGTTGTACTTTTGAACAGTCACTGTTGTAGTTAGTTATGTTTTTTAGTTAACTAGTTAACTTGTTAACGTATTTCACAAGCGAGCCGGCCACCCCGACCAAAACGCGTCCATGAATTAAATCTTATTCAGTTCAACCACCCACCATGCCACCAATTAGTACTCAATCCTCTCGAAATTCAATAGAGCAAGAGTGTAGGATCTTACTAGCTATCCAGGCTTTTAAGAATCACAAAATCTCTTCAATTCGTGAGCTAGCCCGTATTTTTAGCGTACCACGTTCGACTCCAAGACCGCCTCCGTGGCCACCAATATCACGCGAATATTTCGCGCTAACTACTATAAATTAACCCAGTTTAAAGAAAAGCCTTTAAAAATAGATAATCTCTATAGATTCTCGTGGAGTAGCCCCCTAGCCCTCTATAGTATAAGAAATAGCGAATCTTCTCCTTAAAAAGCGTGGAAATACCCTGGCTCTTTTAGTCGGCTAAAATTAAATTACGAATTATATAAAACGATACCCTCTCCTTTCCTCCTAGTTCTCGAAACGATGTAATTACGAGTGTGCGAAATACGAAGACCTAAAGATTATTTAGGGGTGGTTTCATCTAGACTTCCTGTCAGGGTGCGGGCTGGCAGGACGGTATGATAGGAGATGACTGGCAGGGACAGGTCGTAACAGATCAGATTCTCATTGACAGGTACAGGCACAGGCAGGGGCAGGCTAATATACAAGACGTAGCTCGAAGAGCTACAACAGGATCTAGAACTGAAGTTCAAGATAAACAGGTCGGAGATCACGTGCCGTGATCTTCCTTTTACTAAGCATTACGGTTCACACCGTGACAAAAGGGTCGGGTTTCGGGCTTTTGGAGCTTTTTGAGCTTTGCGGAAGTCTAGTTTAATCTTATTTAAAGAACTATCCTTTAATTTAGGATTAACTAAGATAATATGTTGAACGAAATACAGCGTACTTTTCCACTAGACCATAACAAAAACCAAGATTCCTGTTTATGGCCTAGGGGGGCCGTATTTGAGGTTTGACATAATATTTATAACTTTAACTAAACCGGTTTCGCTATAGGGTTAACTACTACTCTAAAGGTTATTATAAGGAGTGAATATACTGTTACGCACTGCCTAACTGGTCACAGTTATGTTAAAAGCTTTCCTGATTATACTTGCCTGTGCTGATCCTCCAACGTCAACGATCTGCTTCTCAACCGAGCTGTTGCTGCGCACAGTCTTAATCCAGCCTAAGTCCTTTTGAGGGTATCGAGGAACGATGCCAGGTAGAGCGCCGAGTAGATCTATACCGCAGTATTGGTCTGCTCGTAGGTGTTGTCAAGTGATAATATAGTTAATGTGT